AAGAATCTGAATTACTTGCCTAATGAATAGGGTAAAAGATCATTTTACCCTTTTTTCTTACTTGACCCAAAACCAAGACCTATATGGCCCAACTTCTTAATTGGGCCCAAAACCATCATGAATCAAATTCCAAGAAAGCCCATAATTAATCCATGACCCAAGGTCATAAGTTTAATGACGCAACAAGGTCCAAACCAAAAGACCCAAAATTCACACCTTGGGGAGTACACCCCACGTACCAGAAGTGTAATCCCCGTGTACTCACCCTCTAAGCGCAATGTACAAGTCCTTAAAGAATGAAACTCTATTTACATTGATCTTACTTATGAGTACGCCCAATGTACTTATCAAGGGCCAAAAATTCACATTAAGCTCTTATTGGGTTAAGTCAAAGGCATCCAACCACTTCTCTTAACCCTAAATGATGTCTTAAACTATAAAGTCGAAACCTTTATGCCTTTGCATGGCTAAAGAGGGATAAATCTCCAAAATCTTTCCTTCAGGACACTAAAAACCATTTAACTATTGCATGGTGCTAAGGAAACGATCAAGAAAACATTTATTTATGGCTCAATACACTTCAAGACCTCAAAAAGGACAGTTAATATGTTTTAGAGTACTCCATACCCACAAAGATCCAAACTTTGGGACAAAAGCTTATGAAGCTATGCCATAACAAGATCTATGAATAGACTCATCAGGTTTGAAGCTTTATACCTTGAGAAGGTAGATCAAGATTCACTAAGCCTGGATCCATAAGCTCCAAACAATCCTACACTTCTCCAAAAAGCTCATTCTTCTTCTATGAGTACCAAAATGCATGAAATACCACCAAAAACTAAAAACCCACACCAATGGAGGCTAAGGTTTAATTTATAGGGTTTTAGGGGATGGAGGCTGAAAATAATAGGGTTTGGTGGTGAGTTAAGTTGCTTAAATAGGTTCCAAGACCATAAATTAGGGTTTGGGTCTGACTGGAGTACGCCCAACGTACTCCCTTAAGGCTCCGAGATCATTTCCCTTAGTACACCCAACATACACCAATGTACGCTCTGCATACTGGCCTTTACACTAGTACGCCATGCGTACACTTGTGTACGCCTCGTGTACTCGGTGAATCCTAAATTCCCTAAACTTCCGAAGGCCATAATTTATTTGTTGTAAGTCCGTTTCTGAAGATCTTTATATCCACGAAAAGGTAAAGAGAAGCTCTACACTTCTATCAAATCATCCTTTCCTTAAAACTTTCCAAATAAAAATCCAAAATTCATAAAGGTTCGATTGCCACTTTACGGTTATACCCTTAGGTTCCAAATCACAAACCGAATTTCCATATCATCTATCCTACCTTATCCACACCCAAATAGGTCTAAATCTTTCTTACTCAAAGACCCTAAGCCTTATGATAGTCTTCGGGTCACGGCCCCGTATTAGGAAATCATTATAAAGAGGGTGTTACATTCATATTATGTAAGATTTGGTTGATTAATTGACCTTCAATGGTCATGTCAATCAATTAGGTTCACATAATGATCATCTAATGCAATCACATACATTAAAGCTCATAACTTTATGGACCTAACCTTATGATTTGGTTCCTCACTAGTCATAGTAGTTTAATGGTCATAAAACAAATATGATTCAAGAAAACATAGTAAGGTTGGCCCTCTAGACTTTGTAAACTCAATAATCGACCATAAAATCACAATCTTTAACTATATGGATCTTTGATTAAATAAACAAGATGAATTAAATATCTTTGTAGATCCAAATAACAATAAACCACAAAATCAAGGTTCATTTACATCTAAGCACAAAATAAAAGGGTTTTAAGCCCCAAATTAGAAGTAAAACATAGAGAAAACATAAATAAGTTGCTAATGATTCACTCCCATATCCTTCAGATTCGTGCTTCATATCATTCTTATGGCATTGGAATCTACTTTTAGAATTTCAAAATGGCATCTCTAATGTATATTTTCATTCCAATATATCATTAGGACAAAGAGAGTGACCTATATATCGATTAATTTTCGTGGAGTATTGAAGGCCATTAATTGCATTGATTGTGTTAGATATGTTGGGGAATAATACAGTAATTGGATGGACATTTCCATTGTGTAATTGGATATGGATACAACTTAGTGGTCCATTGTTATGATTGAGCCCAAGCCCAAGATAGAATTTGAGCTGAAAAGGGATACATGTAGTGTTGGTTATTGTAGTTTCTACGACTATATCCTCACCTCGGTTTTCACAGGTATAGCCATTGATTACAGTGTTATGGATGTTGTTTTCAGATATCAATATGGCGGGGTTGGTAGTAGAAGGTTATTTGGCGGTCATAGGGATAACAAGGGTGGTTATGGTATATAGTGTGGAGCTAGTTTAATTTGTGGTTTGTATGGCATGACAGATTTCTTGCAAAATAAGTTTGGAGCGATCTTTATAAAAGAATGGCAACGAGTCGGATTGTTGGATAACTGTGGCAACACAATCATATGCATCAGTAGTAAGGTAGTGATACGTTAGAGCGGGGGGGGGGGGGAAGTGAATGTTCGAACACCAATGTTGGCTAGAATATATAATTATTTAAAACCTTGGATGGATGTATTGGAGAATTGTTTGAGTTTTGTGCTCGATAATTATTGATCCCGTGCTTGCTTTCAAGCGATCCCATGCTTGCTTGGAAATCAAGTAGAGTGGAAGTATAATATGCAAGAGATTGCGAGATATAGTACCATACCTCCACCGAAAAACACTAACATCAAGTCTTGACCAATTGTTTATTGGCAACAATAGCGATGGAAGGTGGTGTTGTTGCCATGATATGATTGATTACTTGATATACACAAAATTGAATTTTAAAGTGCTTAGACAAAAAAAAAATATTGGCTCTTTCCATCTCCAAAGTGATAGGAATTATGGATTTGATGTATTAAGCTGTGATGACTGGTGAAATTTAGCATTGTTTGCCATTGATTGTAGAAGAGGTCAAGAGGGTAAGAAAAAACAAGAAAGAAGTAGAGGTTGGAGGGTGAGTATGTGTTTCATTGATTAAAAAAAGAATTTAAGATCTCATATAAGTAATATTTTCTTTGATTTATTTTCAATCTCTATATATAAGGTAATGTGGATGAAATGAAAGGAAAGTACACATCTCCATTGATAAGATAAATACATGATAATTATTATTGACAACCAAGAGTTATTTTTATCAATCCGGAATGAAAGGGCTTAGAGATGATGCAATCATTCAGGGTCCGCAATACAACATAGATAGTAGCCCAAGCCCATGTATCTTGACTATAATTATAATTTATAAACGCGAATACTTTCAAGGATCCATGCTATGCTCATTGTCATTGAGGAGAAAGTTAAAAAGAGACGAGATAAAAGAAATCTACAACTTAAATATATTTTAAAAATAAGAAATTAAATATCTTTCTATTCTTTGTTTTTACCATCCTTCTACATATTTTAGATAGCGGTAAATGTCGCTAGATTTAATTTAAATTTGATGGGATGTTAAATTTGTATATTTGTTATCATTTTAAATAGATAAGAAAAAAAATAGGAAAAAAGTATATTTAATTTCTCTTTTAACATAATACCATTTTGTAGGAATAATATGAGGTCATAAAGTTATGCAACTCATATTTCAAAGTCGAGTTTCGCTTCAGTTTTCAACATTTTAAGTCCCTCTCAAAACCGAATGATACTCTAAATTTGTAATCTATCATCAAAATCGGCCAAACATTGCTCATTGTATTTTATTAAAATTACCACCTTAACTTATACGGCATAAATCCAAAAAGAGCAAAAAAGATACCAAGTCCAAGTGGGGTTGGTTAAAAGCCTTGGACGCCTAAATAACCATTTTTCATGGATACCTTGCACGCTATCCACTTCTTCCAACGATTCTTTTTGTCTTTCTTTTATCTTCTTCTTATTTATTTATTTATTTATTTATTTTTTTCTGAAATATTATTCTCTATCAAACTTAAACTCATAAAACGTTGGTCAATATCAATATTTGACATCTTTAATAATTTTCATATGATTATTGAAACCTAAGTTCTTATTCAAAAGATTTAGGTTATTTAATGCAATCGAGTTGGACAAGATTAAATACACGATTTTTAAATTGCATCTTATATAGAAAACACTACATTATTTGTATTAAGTTGTCTTTAAATTGTAGTATTTCGTTACTTATAAACTACCCAATATATTAAACATAAGATAAGATTTGAACTTATAAAATTTCAATTCATCATAACGAAAACACCAAGAAACCTATTTGCTGTCATATTCTCATTCTTATTTATAGATAACACTTTTTTTTGGCGTACGAAACTTAACAATACCTTTTCCTATAAATAACACTTGTGTAGATAGAGATGTTTTGAAGTCTTGAAGCGCCCAAATAAAATGGGAATTCTAATAAGTTTATTAGCAAATATCTTCATCAAGAAAAAGAAGCCGTTGCCAATTGAAACCATTTTCAAATTAGCCTCGGAGCCTGAGCCACCCAATTTTCCTCAAGGTGACGCTTTTATTCTTTTACTTTCTTTTAGATGGTTATAATTATCATAATATAAAGTACCAATTCATATATAGAAGAGTTATGCTTCATACATATTCACCTTGAGGTTTAAATTTCCGTAGATCATGTTTTTCACATGTAATTTATTTGCATATTTAATTGTGTATGTTTTGAAGATAAGATTTTTCTTCTAAACTGATGATAGGAAATGGCTTTGCAAAAGGGACAATCGATTTAGGAGGATTACAAGTGTGTCAAGTGACTTCATTCAACAAAATCTGGTCCACCCTCGAGGGTGGACCAGATAATCTAGGTTCAACATTCTATGAACCATCTGCAATACCTAACAGCTACCATGTGCTTGGTCACTATAGCCAGTCCAACAACAAGCCACTATTTGGATGGGGTTCTAGCCGCCAAGTCCAGTTCAAATGACCCATCATCGCTAGCCATGCCCATCGATTACTCTCTCATTTGGAGCAGTGAGTCCCAAAAGATAAAACAAGACAAAATCGGATGCATTTGGCTCCCTGTTCCTCCCCAATGGCTACAAACCCGTTGGATACATCGTCACAAACTCGCCAGAAAAGCCATCATTGGAAAAAATCCGATGTGTTCGATTGGATTTTACAGAAATTGTTGAATTTGATGGATGGATTTGGGGGTTAACGAATGAGATTGATCCCAATGGTTTGAATGTATATGGGTCAAGACCAAAAGATAGAGGGGCCCAAGCCACGGGTGTTTCAATAGGTTCATTTCTAGTCCAAAACGGTTTGGCTGATTTGTCATTACCCTATTGTTTAAAAAATAACACAAATACCCTTTTGGCTATGCCAAATTTTGCCCAAATTGAGGCTTTGATTCAAGCTTATTCACCAATAATTTATTTTCACCCTGATGAAAAATATCTTCCTTCTACGGTTAATTGGTACTTTGAAAATGGAGCATTGTTGTACCAAAAAGGGTTAGAAAGTAATCCTAACCCGATTGAACCAAATGGTTCGAATCTTCCTCAAGGTGGTTCGGATGATGATTCATATTGGCTAGACCTTCCCATCGATGATTCAGCTAAAGATAGAGTCAAGAAAGGTGATCTTGACAACGCTAACGCATATTTCCACATAAAGCCCATGTTTGGTGCAACATTTACAGACATAGCCATATGGGTATTTTACCCGTTCAACGGACCCGCAAGGGTGAAATTGGAATTTCTCACCATTTCACTAGGCAAAATAGGGCAACACGTTGGTGATTGGGAGCATTTGACATTAAGGATCAGTAATTTCGACGGCAGTTTAAAATATATCTATTTTTCAGAACACAGTGGAGGTACACTGCTTGATGCTTCGCAAATCGAATTTGGAAATGGAAATAAACCGGTTGCATATGCGTCTTTAAACGGGCATGCGTTTTACTCCAAACCGGGGCTTGTTTTACAAGGGAAGGGTGGAAATGGGATACGAAATGATACGGCTAAAGGGAAGGCGGCGATGGATACCGGAGTTAGGGCGGCGGTGGTGGCGGCGGAGTATTTGGCCATGGTTGAGGAACCACCGTGGTTAAATTATAGTAGAAAATGGGGTCCAAAGGTAAGTTATGATATCGTAAAGGAGATAGAGAAAGTGAAGAAGGTTTTGCCAGGGAAACTAAAGGAAGTATTTGAGAAAGCTGTAAGTGGCGTTCCAAATGAAGTTTTAGGGGAAGAAGGTCCTTCTGGTCCTAAAATGAAAAATAATTGGAATGGAGATGAGAAATATTGAATGACATTATCTACTTTTTATACATTATTTTACGTTATACGGATTGTTTTTTTGTAAATGGGTAAAATAGAGAAACTGGATAATAATAATAATAATAACAGCCAGGCACACCTAAGAGTCCAATAAAAAAAAAAATGCCTTTGAAAAAGAAAACGCCGTTGCCGGGGATCGAACCCGGGTCACCCGCGTGACAGGCGGGAATACTTACCACTATACTACAACGACAACTTGAATCAATTTTCTATTTTAATGAATATAACTCGATATTACGTTTTGTTAAGCAAAGAATTATAAAAGAATCTTCGTAATTATTAGTGCATTTGAAACGAAGAAAAGAATGTCAACGAGAATAACTTTTTGGTTCAAAATAAAATGTAATATATGAGTTTGTATATATTTTATGACGATTAATCAAGTATTTCAAGTGTCCCTTAATAGAAGCAAAACAAAATGTGTAAAAGTAGCAACTAATTAACAAGTAATAGTTAATATTGATCGGTAGTTAGATAAACGTAAGTTTAAAGAATCTAAGAAAGCAGTCGTGGTGTATTTATCTAGTTGGAATCTGTTTACTAATAATAATTCTTACAAATCATAGTATTTTATATAAGAACTAAATATTTCATAGATTTTGCTTGACTAAAATGCACCTTGGTGATTTTTGCATTAAAGGTATATGTATAAAATATTATTTGAATAAGTGTTGGTAATCAAAGTTGCTATATGCTACCCCGACTGTCATTCATTTTAGATTTATTCTTGTTACGATATAAAAAAAAACAACAACAATAATAATAATAATAATAATAATAATAATAATAATAATAATAAATCATAGAAAAATAAACAATATAAATAGACCATGTTGTTTAAAATACATGGTCCTCAACTAAATCTTCATTTATGCAACAAGAAAGGAAAAAATCTATCTAGTATCTTCTCTAATAAACGAAACTTATTTTTGTCACGTGTCTATTCTATTTTGCCACGTGTCATCTGTTATTAGAACAAATAGACTAGATTTTCAAAATTTCAAAAATTTTCTATTATTTACTTTGTTATATTTTCAAAACATTCCTTAACTACGTCTTATTTCGTTCTGCTTGATCGTAACATCCTCCCAACCACATTATTTTGTTTACACAACTTTTAACAACCACAAAATGTTTTCTTTGTATTCAATCACTCCATAGGGATGTCGAAAATCCTAGCCATAGACGATGCTTACTTCATTAAATCCTCTCCATCGTTTACCCCGACAACCATCCAACCAGTCGTTGTTCGTGTGACGCCGCCAACCAACTACCGCACCACAATGTAGGTGATTAAAGGAAAAAATGATGGTGTTGTTAAGATATGAGATCTGAATTCCGTATGACCTGATCGCAAATTGGTCCTTTTTCTTCTACTTCTAACCAACTACAACTCAATAAATAAGTTTACTGTGAAAATTCAATCCTTTCTCCATGGTAGCTGATTTGTTAAACCTCTGGTAAGCGTCCATACCACATGGTCTAATTCCATCATTCTCTTCTCTACTGCTTTACATATTATTTACTGAAATATTTTGACATGCTCAACGTTTTCTTTTAACTTATAGATCTCGGTCTATAAATATCCTTATAGAAATCATGTGATATCTATTTTTTTTGGCAGCCTATAAAATGATTGTAGTTTTTTTTGTAACTAATATAGTTACTATTTATATATTTTGGAATGCTTATATCGTTTCCATCTCGAATACTATGATAAGTTGGCAGACAATGTTGGATTCCCCACTTGGGAAAGGTAGAGAAAATATCTTTGTATTTTAGCTTTAGTAACTCAGATATACACTTGGAGACTTGTCAGGGTTCTATATGATTAAGCATATAGTGTTTTGGGAATTAAGTCATCTTATTCATGTGATGTTTTTATGTTATTTTTAGAATAGTTATATTTGGTTTCTTCGATTGTGTTCCTACATATCTTTTTTGTCCTTGGTTTACTTCTTTTGATTATATGCCTTTCAACTCCAATCTATTTTCTAGGCATCTGAGTTGCATTGAGTTGCATCAGGAATTTCACAAACACGGTGGATTTGGTCAAACACCTCTTAAAGTGCTAAGGTTATACATATCTCTTTTGTGTTTTTTCTCTTGATTTAAATGAAAACTCTTAATTTTCAAGAACTTCTAGCTGGCTATTGACTTGAGTTGTAATGGTCAAAGTACGGAACAACAAGATGATATCAGTGATTTTAGATAAAAGGGTTAATGTCATTATAGCCCAACCAATTTTTAAAGTTTATTTTATTTGGTCATTGAAGTTTTCTTTGTGCATCCTAAGTCACCAAAGTTTCAAATTTAGTGTTAAAAAGGGGAATATCACTGAAGGGGTCACCCGGTCATATAGGTAAGTTGGTGGCTATGTGGCATTTTGGTCAACTGAACTCTTCCATGTGACATTTTGGTTGACCACATTAATCATCTTTTTATAGAGAAATAAATCTCTCATTTATGATTATGATTCAAAATCTATTATCTTTCGTTTGTTATCTATCGTCTTTCTCTCGTAAATATGGTTTGTATGTGTGTATCTTCGAGTTACAGGTTTTTGGGTTTCTCGTTGCTGCAAATAGACATGGATTTCTTATTGTTAGGAAGCTCAAGTAAGATCTTTTAAACCATAAAGCTTCAAAAAACATCAGAAACAAATCCTGGTTTGTAATAAATGTATAACATAAACAAATTTTTCACTAAAATATTTTATTCACACATTTTTTTTCTCAATTCCATATAGGGATAATGACTTAAAAGGGTAATATATTTTTCGATCTGTTCACATTTAGTCACCAAGTTTTTTTTCGTCCACATTTACCCCTTCAACTTGTTAAACTGTACATATTTAGTCCTTATGACCGGCTACTCCAGGTTAGCCGGTAAAAATGACTTAATAGGGTAATATATTTCTCACTTTGTACACATTTAGTCCTTAATATTTTTGTACACATTTAGTCCTTAATATTTTTTTGTTGTAAAATAAGTCTTTTTTGTTTTTGTATTAATTCAGTACTTATGAATGATTTTTTTTAGGTTTTTTCTCACGACATCTTACGTGGGATGGTCATATGGTGATGAGATAGGTTAAGATGGTCCTGCTATATGTTTTAGGACAAGATACATGGTGTGGGTCGGCTATAAACTATAGGTACGAAGACTCGAGAAGAGCGATTGGCTTAACGCGGCATGCCAACAAACCTTGGGTATTCCAATCTGATGACTGATTGGACCTGTTGCATCTTGGCATTCCAGTCTGATGACTGATTGGGCCAAGGTATTCCAATCTGATGAGTGTGGGTCCGTTATGCAGATAATACGTTTGTTGTATCACGTATTTTGGGGGAAGCTTACTAAACTTTGTGTTTACCTAGTTGTTTATGTTTTCAGGTTCTATCATTGGTTGTGGAAAGGAGAATGCATGACTGTACACATACATCAAAAATATTGAGGATTCCACATTTGTTATATTACTTCAATTTTCGATGAATGTATTTTGGAATAGACATTTTTTCTTAATAATGGATTTATAATTAGGGAGTTTTGCCTTATTTAAAAAAGAAATTTTTTTGTTGTGAAATCGAGACATTACATATAAATATACATAGCCCCATACACTTCATCAATGATTGTCCCATGTAAGATATCGTGAAAAAAACATAAAGAAAACATTTATAAGTACTGAATGTGTACAAAAATAAAAATGACTTATTTTGAAACAAAAAAATATTAAGGACTAAATGTGTACAAAAATGATAAATATATTACCCTATTAAGTCATTTTCTCAGCTAACCTGGAGTAACTGGTCATAAGGATTGAATGTGTACAGTTTAACAAGTTGAAAGGGTAAATGTGGACGAAAAAAACTCAGTGACCAAATGTGTACAAATCAAATAATATATTACCCTTTTAAGTCATTATCCAGCAAAATCCCTAGTGCAACAACTACCACTGTTGATTTCAAGGATTTAATCATTTAAGACATAACATCGAGTCTTCAAGAACATGCTCCCAGTCAAAACATAGATTTATTCCACCACCATCACAATCGATTCCCAATGAAAACTAAATCAATGCAACAAAAGTAAAACCTAGTGAAAATAAAATAAAACCCAACAAAAACTGGAGATTAAAATCGGACCCGGAACACAATTTTGGAACAAATCTAGAGCATATTTGGAGCTTGACTATAAAGAAAGGAATTTATGGAAGGGAGAAAGAGTTCAACGATGGTGGTGGTGTCGATCACGAGTTCATCCATGTTTGAACCCACATCAGCGATATTAAGAGTTCATCAATGCTTGAACTTTGAACCCAACAATGTTTAAACCCAAAAAATTGAAATTAAGTGTTGATCGTCTGAGACCTAATGACGACATGACGGTCAGTAGTGGAGTTCATTAGTGAGGAGGAGTTTTCATGTCATAATTTTGCCGACGGAGGATTCATTACGGTAGAGAGAAATCAACTGTGTGTACTTGTGTTTGTTGATTGAAGACTTGTCTTTCTTATCAGCAATGATTAGTGGTGTGAAGTTGTATTCAAGAGGTGGATGAACACAGGAGATTTGGGGAAAGTGAGAAATAGATGATGTTAAAGAAGATTCTAAATTAGTTTCATTTTTATTTACTAAAAAACCCACATAAGATTGGCAACCGACTACTACAAGTGAAAGGATACTTTTGATAGGTAAAAAGAAAGTTTATGCGCCTAAAGTGCAAAAAAAAAAAAAAAAACATTAAGGACTTTTTAAAACAAACTGTAAAAGTTTGTAGGGCTAAAATAACATTTACCCTAGATAAAAATGGTTAAAGAGGTAATGGGTGCTGAGAATACATGGTGGGAGCTCATTTTAGTGTAAATCTAAACCAAAAGACATTTCTTACAATTGATACTCTTTCTTGTATTCTAATTTGCTCTTAGTTTCATTATTTGTTTCATATTCATCAATCAACCATGAT